ATTTCCACCCACTGCCGGCTTGCGGCAGTTCACCGTTCGATGAAACATTTTCATACGATTTTTCCAGTCAGCATAACTTAGCGGAACCACAACCTTGCCACTTACAACAACAGCAACAATTACATCAACAAGCGCACCTCCAACAACAACATTTCCTCAAAAAATATTGTGACGCCAATGCAGCGTCATACTGCAGTCAGTACGAAATGGATGAGTCCTGGCACGACTGGGACATCTTCAACTTGCCGTCCAGCACCTCCTCCATAGCATCATCCATGACATCATCCAACACATCATCCAACACATACATCAACGAAGTACAACACCAACAACATTCCAGTTCTCTTTCGCCATCTACAACAACAACAACAGCAAATGTTTTACAACGAATGAGGGCCTCTCCACGACAATCGCCTATATATCACCTCAGTAATCTGCTCGCTAGCACTGACGTCCTCTGCAAAACTCTTGCAATCTCAAAAAGTTAGTTTTCGCTTCGTTTCATTTGATTTTACATTTGGCCTGTCAACATTAAAGCTGCCCTACAGTACAGTTGTTAAGTTGTTATACAAATTTTTCATTTGCGATTGTTTCATGGCAAGCAAACCTTCGGAAGTTTGAACTGAACATGCTTAATTAATTGTGACTGAGTCGTGTGTGACTGAAAGTGAAAGTAGCTGACGTGCTTGCTGCTGCTGCTGTTTTTGATGCGGCAGAAGGTACGAAGTGCTGTTTGTATGTGTGAGTGTGTGTATAGTGTATACATGTGTGTTTGTATGTGTGTGTGTGTGTGTGTTGTATGAATGTTTGTGTGAACTCCAGTGCAACAGTGCTATCTACATTTGAATCTTTCCGAAGTAATATGATGGATGAGGTTATCAACAATGATTACATTTTTACCAGTTGTGGTTTTAACATCAGCAGGAAAGTTAATTGATGTGTCTGTAGAAGAAAAAGTCTGATAGAAATTATAGTTTTCGAAACGTTGAACGTGTTCTTCTCGCGTTATCGCTGTCCATAGATTTTAATTGTCGCCTGCGTTGCAATTATCTTCTGTTCAGTTTATTTTCTCATCAACGACAACATCACCACCACCACCGCCGCCGCCACTGCTGCTACAACATCACTGATGATGTTAACATTTGTTGTCATCCACTCATCATCACTGATGTTATTCAATCATCATTTGTTTTCCTACATCGTTCGATCCGCAAACTTCATTGTCACCATTTTATGAGATGCCGTCACATCACATCATTTGTGATCGTAGTCACAATTCTCACTAATCATCCTCGTCATCATTTCACTTGTAAGGTCGCTCGCCTGCAGTTCATTTGTCACCATGCATTAATTATTTCGAAAAATAGTTAATTCAATATAGAGTTAGTTGAATGTGGTTCGTTCGTTTTCATGCTGTTGTCTTCTGTGGTTGGTCATTCATCATCATGTTATGAGACCAAAGACATAAAATCATTTTTGCAATTGAAACAACAACAATGCAGGTGCCTGTGAGCTTGCAAAGAAACATTTGCTGGCAAGTAGGTAGGTAGGTAGCATGGAACATGGGAGCTTATTATGAAACCAAACTATAAAAGAAACATGATGAAGATGATGAAATGAATGAAGATATCTATAGGCAGGTTTTATCGGATCATTGAAGAGGATAATGTAGCGGTGAAAAATATGGTTGCTGTATTTGTCATAATGAAGAGTGTGAATGGAAAGTTTGAAGTTCGAAGTAGACCAGCCACACAAAAATTCAACAGATGTGAATAACTTTTTAATGAAATTCGTTTGATTTTCAACGTCTGAACGTTTGAAAAGTGAATAAAAGAAGATTCACGCTCAAACTCGTGAAACATTCCATCAGTTGTTTCTTCACGTCAGTAATTGAAAGTTTGAAACGTTAAAACTGATTTAAAAAATTGTACAAAAAAATATGAACTCAAATTTAATGTCATCATTTTATACAGCGTAATGTTGCAATGAATGTGTGGTTTTGCATGAACACGAACACTCACGCATTCGAATAGTCGTGTTTGTGCATTAATGTTTGTAGTAGGTATAGGTATGGGTTTGTAAGCACGTGTTGCATTCTTATGTGTATATATAAACATTCATGTGTGTTGCACTGTACATGCACTGTACATGCATGCATGCATCGGAATGCAGTTGTACTTGCCTGTACGACACACGCTCAAGTGGTTCACGTGACATTCATCCACTGCAGATCCCCATATTTGGTCATGCTCCGATGTGAAGACGTGGTGCACCTGGATGTTCAACAAATCATCATCATCATCATCACCGACATCGTCATCAACGTCGTCTCCGTCATCCAGTTTCACAAATGAAAAACAATGCAGAATAAAAAGTAGAAAGCAAAGAAATATAGTCTCGAAGGATGAAGCTGACATCAAACCGGAAGTAACAAACGACAGCTATGACGTCACGAATATTGATGGGGCAACCTTGTGTGGTATGGGCTGCATGGAGATGAAGGAAGTGTTTGGAGAGGAAGGAGAAGCCATCTTCGTCGAACTTGAACTTTGGAAAAATGGTGAAAACTTATGTTGCTATGTGCTTGTGTGTGTGTGTGTGCGCGCGTGCGTGTTGCTGCGTTTGTGTGAGTTTTTGTGCGTGTGTGTTTGTGCGTGTTATTGCGTCTGGGAGTGTTTGTTTGATATTTTGGCAAAGTATGTTGATAATAAAATAAGCATCACAGAAAGCAGAAGCGATATAAACAAATAATTAAAAAATGAGGTGAACGATTGTTTACGTGACGTGCCTGCCTGTCCAATCTTCTCAATTGCTCCTAGAGTCCAACGATTGCTGGTCTCAAGAGCTCTCGAGCGCTCTCTAATTGAAACATTTCAATTTCAAGCAGTGTTGCTGTGAATGACTGTGTGCGTGCAATGTGTGGGGCATTCATGTTCAACATCATATCCTTAAAATACATTTTACTTCCAGCTCACTACTTGTCTCAAGATGAGCAGTTCTGCATCAGCCCTGCGAACAAATCGCTAGACTTCTACAACTTCAACGTCGTCAACAGTGAGAATGTTTGTGTCGGGGAAAATCTCTACCTACCCGATCTTTATGACGCAAAAACATCAACGACATGCAGCACTGGTGCGATCCCGACACGCGAGACTGGGAATTTGAACACCAAGAATGAAGGAAGAAACTCAGAGGAAACATTTTACAACGAGCCACTGAACATGAAACTTCCTCCAGAGCTCAAACAGCAACAACACCTTTCCAACAACAACGACCCCATCCTTCCACAGTTCTCATTCTTCGTAAACAACAACAACAGCAGCAGCAATCTCAACAGTTATAATTTTCTCAACGGCAATTACTACGGACTGCCAGCTAACTTCAACAATTATGTGACGTCATTTGTCGACATTCCACGTCGACCGATGTCATCGTTGTCGTCCTCTCCAGCTTCGTCGTCCCATTCCGACGGTTACGAGGCTCTTTATGGGTCTCAGGTCGATCCGGCAGGTTCGTCGCTTCTGTCAAGTTTATTCATTTTAAGTTAATTGAAGGTGAGTCGGTCCTCATCTTTCTAACACGCCTGTGCAAAACAATAGCAACAACAACAACAACAACAATAATAATACCAATACCACGTTATTATTGCAACTAGCAAAGATGGAAAACTTTGACCTTTGACCTGCTGACTGCATCGTCTAATAGCAAATGTGAAGAGGTTTTGTACCTTGCGAGTTTCCAATGAGTCATTTAGGGCAGCATGGTGTTATCAATATTTTTGCAGCCAGCAAATTATTCAGCAAGATTTTAAAATATTTTTAATTGCTAAAATAAAATTTTACACATAAAAATAATTAGCCGAGCGCCGATAAACGAGCAGACTTAAAATTAACATTTGAGATAAGCATAGCGGCCTTCAAAGACCAGCACGATGTTTCAATACTAAATATTAATAAAAATAAACAAATTAATAAACAAATTAAGTGCATGAAATATGCAAATAAAATATTTAACTGTTGTCAGGAGCTTTTAATGTAATATGCGTGCCGTCACTTGAAACGCTCATTGAGAGAGAGAAGTTTTCTGTCATAACACAAAACTTGACAACATGGTATATGAAATATGAATGAGAACTTATTCACGTGAACAAGCGAGAAGTAACTTTTGATACAATCGAGTCAACATAACGATATTAACAGCACAGCGAGAGAGAGAGAGAGAGAGAGAGGACTAATTACGAGATAGCATTCATGAGTTTACATCATCATTAGATAGCGATGCTCCAGGACCCACAAATTAAAATGCAACTTACAAATTTTTTATGTTGTTTAATTTAAAACGGACGTGAACCAATTAAAAACTTTCAACGCCGACAGAACTGAACTACAAAGATAGGAGCGGGCAACCATCGCGACACGGCAACCAGCTGTGGCAGTTTCTGAAGGAGCTGCTGCATCAACCACACTGCTACGATAACTGCATCAGATGGATCGATAAACAGAAAGGTTCGTTAAACAATAGGTTGTTAGGATGGTACGGTGCTATCAAATGAACAGAATTTAATGTTGTTAGGCATGCAGTCGGCGATTAAAAATATCAAGCAAATTGACGTTCATAAATGCTGCGTTGTTGGTGCTATTGTAGAATGCTGCATTGTCTGCCTGGTTGGTGATTGTTGTATGTGCAGTGCTCTGTGCAGTGCACAATAATGTCGTTGTTTTTCATGCCGTCGTCGGTAGGCTAGAGTTTTGCTGGCTGACGAACTGCTTGCTGGGCGAGGCTTTATTTAGTTTAGAGGATTGTTAAAGATTTCATTAGAATAGTGAAATGTACGGTTGCTGCTAGGTTGTGAATAACAATGAATTAGTACATACACACACACATACATCCACACACACACATACACACATACATACATACATACATACATACATACATACATACATACATACATACATACATACATACATACATACATACATACATACATACATACATAC